TCTCGGATTTATTTCCTTGGCTACTTTAATCCTTTTTTTATCTTAGACTCGATCAAAGTGGGGGCTAACTGTAGACATCTACTTTTGGCCTCCCGTCCCTACAGGAAGTGCAATGACGATAAATAAAGCCATCTTCGTGTTAGATCAAAGTAAAGAATGCTTATGGATTACTAGCTAAACCACAAAAACACAAAAAGACTAGCCTAACCCAAAACAAATACGAAACAAGGTCCAATTAACTAAACTCGATCATAATTAGGCTTAACCCCATGCTTAAGACCCAATAATGACGGATTTAGAGGCGCCTAGCTTAAAATTAAAGTTGTCGCAGAAAATTTTGCGCGCATCTCAATGAGTCGCGCTGGTTTGGTGCGCACAACTAATTCAGTTGTGCGCAACACCCAACGCAACTTCTAGAGATGTGCTCGTGGAAGATTCTAGATTTTATAAAAATATAGAATCGAATATTACCATAAAACCGCGCGCAAGACATTCAGTTGCGCTGTAGCGCAACTAAATCACTTGCGTTGGGATGCCTCGCGCAACTCATCCAGATGCGCGCAACACCTGCTGCGGAAGAATGCCTAAAACCCTAATTGCACCCATTCCCTATAAATAGGGGCTTAATACGAGGCTTAAACACATAGAAATTAACCTAAAATCCTGGTAGAAACTCTTGTAAACTTGTACTTCCAAATCCACTTGTCCTAAACACTCACCCCTCTTAATCTTGGTTACTACGGTGGAGGTTCCCGAACAAGAAGGAGTCCATAAGTGTTCTAAACATAAATCTAACAAAGAGAAGTGGTAAATTCCTTAGTGTTGTTTGACCACTTTAAAATGATATTTAATAATCGATTCCACATAGTATCTTGTGTTAAATAAGATTAGAATTGAATAATCAATTCATTTATTGATCCCTTAAGCCAAGGCGAATCTTGTTTAATTTTGGTCCTTTCACGAATTTGAATTAAATAAAGAATAACGACTTTGCAATGTAATTCCCACGTGATTAATGATTGTAAATAAAATCAACTAACTTAGTTTTAGGCATCGCGTTGCATATATTATTTGGTGATGAAATTGTAAAACAGAAAGAGCTAGTAGAGGCCGCACTAGGGCTAGAATAGCGATTCTCCTTTAAAGAGAACGTTATTTTAGTACCCTCGCTCCCGAACTCATTTCTTGTTTTTGTAGACCAATTTGAGCATGGGTAAACTTATGATTTGTGCTAAATATCCCATGAACTCCACATGGGATAAAGGCATGAACGAGGTTTATGGATTTTCCCAAAACTCATTAGCGACTCCTACTTATTTCTTATAAAAAAGCGTGATAATAGAATCAATTCTAATTCAAGGTCCCACAAACAGTCAGGAATTCAAATCCTAATACACCTTAACAAGTGTAAAGTCCTAGGCTTTTAAATGGCCATGGGCATCTAAGGAAGTACCCCCTACGATGGGATCACCTTCCTTACAATCACTAATATGTGTTTTCTAGTGTTTTAATAGTTTTGGTTGTATATTAAAGGAAATTGTATATTTGAAGCATTTTCCCAAAATTATTGGAGCCACTACGAGCATTAGAAGATATTGACCATCTTTCATAGCCAAAGGCCGGTTAGAGTCATCAAAACCGGTGATTAAAGGCTCGGCATAGGAGAAACCGGGGAAAAAACCGAGCTGTAAAGACCCAAAGTGGAGATATAAGTTTGGGCAAAGAATTGTTTCCCAAAGGAATTCCAAGGTTGCCTAAGGAGTCCGCACGATCGGGTAGTGGCTCGCCCGGAGGCGCTCCCTACCGGGCAGGGTGTAAGAAGGAAAAAGAGTCTTGATACAATCATCTCTTCCATTAGCTAAATTCTCTCTTAAGCTTAGACTTCTCTCTTGTTTCTCTTTCTACAACTCTTGGTTTTTATACAATTCATTATTTCTGTTAATTTTGGTAACAATCTATTCCCTTTTATTTTCAGTAATTTATTTGCTTTTAATCATCATGTTTTGTTTCATTGCTTTGATTAGTTTAGATTTAATTATGTGTGAGTAGATTATTTTCTAGAGTTGTAGGGATCCACAAATAATTTGAAGGGGTAATTTATTATTGTTAATTTCAATGCTTGATTAATTTCCTGTTGATTGATTTAATTCTATGCAATTAGATTAGGCCTAGTTTAATTGTATGAGTTATGAAATATTGATTTGAGATTCGAGAGATGAGAATTGATGTTTAGGCTTAGTTCCAATAGGTAGGTTAATTTATAAATGGTTAAGTGAAGCTTCGAGAGATGCGATTTAATGCCAGTAGATTAATTCTGTGATTATAATACGTAGCAAAAGCCCTTTATGATCTGATTAATTATTGCATTGATGATTGATTATTATGTTTTACCCTGGAATATTATTCATTGGTAAATCTATACCTTAGGCTTTTATTAATTGAGTTTTCCTTACATCTCCCTTAGTTTAATTTGTGACATCTATAATTTAATTACTTAATAATTTAAACTATTTTAATTATTTGGAGTAGAAAGACTTGTTTCCCTGTGGATTCGACTCTACTTTTCTATTTACTTTATTTAGAAGAGTTAGGAGATACGACTTTATTCTGTCAACACTCCTGGTTTCGACTTTTATCAATGATATACCTCATTAAACTTTCATTATCAGTGGTACACCTAAAATTTTCCCTAATTAACTATAGTAACCTAAATGTTAATTATGATTAGTTTATATCGATTTTGGTCTGACTTGGCTTGACTAAAATGCCCCCATACTCATTAACACTACCTCCAAGCCCAACCAATAACATTAAATGCAAAACTTTTGATTGTTCATCTTCTTTATTCCCTCCCCTGTTCTTTTTCTTCTCTAAAACTTTAATTGACGCTCGAGTGAAGCAAAATCCTTGGAGATTTAGAGATACTTTGTTGATTTTAAAAGATAAGTGCTTATTTCACTTTGGAATTTTGGATTTTTTTTGTTTAAATTGTTAAGTTTAAGTTAATGTATGTATGTTTGTGTAATTTGTTGGATTATGAGTACAATTTGTAGTTGTTGTTAGATTTTGCCCTTAATTATGCTCGATTTCCATATGATCATGTTTGCATGCTAAATTTTGTATTTTGTTAATAAGGCTTTCTAGGATTGGCTGTAGATTTAGAAAACCTAATGTCTACAACTCTCGGAGGTTGGCAGTTGCAATTCATGAATTTAAACCAATCACCTCTTCCATTTCTATTGCTTGAAGATGAAACCCTACTAGAAGAAGGTATTGATTTTTTAGAGGAAAAAAAAAAGAAAGCAAAAGGAAGAGAGTATGAATGGAAAGGGGGGCATACAAATTAAACTGGACAGTGTATAAGTAGGGGAAAATTCACAACAAAAAAGGATGGAAAAGTAGAAGGAAAATTTGGAAGGAAATTAAATGAGAGGGGAAATTTAGTATTTTTAGCCTCCTAACCTTTAAAATGTTGTCAACTAATCATAATTAACGTTTACTTAACGTTTATGTTACTGTAATTAATTTGTGAAAAGTTTTGGTGTATCGTTGATAACGAAAGTTTAATGAGGTGTATTATTGATAAAAGTTAAAATCTGGAATGTATCATTGATAATTTCCCTTATTTATTTCATGCTTTAGTAGTTTTATTTCTAGGGTTTGGGAACACATGTTTATTAATGAATCTTTATTGATGTTTTTATTAATAAATTATTGATTTCTCTAATTGATAGTGTTTTATTGTTAATCTTGCAATATGATCAATTGTTTGATTAATTATTGTTAATAAATATCTAACTTTAGAGGCTTACATACAATTAGCAATTCTGATTATGTTAGCGACTGAACTACATTTGTTTAATTAAGAGTGTAAGAACCGACCGTAGGCTTAGCAATTGCTCTAGATAATTGATTGATTGAATTGTTATTGATATTTGATAGATTTAGAAATATAAACACGTTGAACCATAACCCTAGGTCTTGTTATTAATTGTTTTGTTCCTATTTTGATTTAGACTACTTTTCAATCCCAACTCGTGACACAGTTTAGTTTCTCCATACCTTAAAAGCGATATTGAATAGCCATAATCTCTTTATGGATTCAACCCTACTTACCCTACTACATGGTTAATTGGTTTTGTTAGGAATTTATTTTTGAAAGATGTACGAAAACTTATCAGTACTACATGTAAGGTAATATATTAGAATAATGTATTATCCAATACTTCGTATCATTCTATATTGTAGTCTTTTTTGATTTTTTTTTTGCTCCAACAAGGATTGGCACTTTAGTTTTTTTTATTATATATAAGTAAAAAATATTATACTGATCAAAGTATGCTATAAAAGACTGTGCCACTCAAAACTTGCCAACATTGTAATTCAATAAAAACCTATAATCATTAAATTTTTAGATTATTTTTTTAATAAATGTTTAATAATCAATAACTTTTGATATCAAATATAATATAAAATTCAAGTTAATTTTTTATAAAAAAAAAAAATTCAAGTGTTTGTTTCAATTAATATTATTATTATTATTTTGTTATAAAAATTATTGTAAGATTAACATTGTAATTCATAATTAGGTTAAGTAACAACCGTGCATTGCACATGAGTTAAACTAGTTTATAGTAATCCGAATATAAAGCGAACATAACTTTTCTAAAATTTTATGCAATGAGAAAAATTAATACTTCTTCCGTTGTTTATTTGTTACATTTTATTTTAAGAATTCATTTAGTTTGATCGTGTCAATTTCTCTAAAATGGTGAGAGTAAAAATTGAGTGTATTTTTACTCCAAAAGATCATTTTAGATACATTAATCATATATATATCTACCTTTTTTGTGCATAGAATCAAACTTGTTGATTTCTTACCTTATTTACAAATTTGATGCAGCATTAAAGTTTGTTATCATATGATCTTTAGCTATCCAGATAACAAAATTTGATATGGTATATCTGATCTTGATCTCATATCATGATACTTTCCCATTATTTACTAGATTTATGACACGTACCATGAATCTCACTCCGATCATGAGCTCATATCATGATACTTTCCCATTATTTACTATCGCTCAGATCTTGATCTCATATCATGATACTTTCCCATTATTTACTAGATATATGACACGTACCATTAATCTCACTCAATACTATGATATATTACTCATCCCCTATAAATGCATGTCTTTAAAGGCTTATTTTAATCAAAAGATAAAAGACACTATATGTCTTTCAAAGCTTCCATTGACATTTGTCTCATCTGTTAATTAGGCCTTAAATCATTCTCTCCAAAAAATAAAAAATAAAACCCAAAATTTCAAGAAACTATCAAGGTATTTTTCTTTTCTTCTTTTAGCAAAATGTCTCTTCCTTCACACACCGACAAGAATATTCCTATGCAACAAAACCATGTTGTTCCAACAGACTTTAGCTTAATCAAAAGTGTTCCTGAATCGCATACATGGGCAGAATGTTATGAAGATTCAGAAATCAGCCCTAATGCCAATGAGAAGTCGCGGTCTTCAATCTCTATTCCAATAATTGATCTTAAAGATCCTAATTCTTTAGGCCTTATTTATGACGCGTGTGAGACTTGGGGTATGTTCCAAGTCATAAACCATGGGATTGCAAAGGAATTGCTTGATCAAGCGGAGTTTCAATCCAAAAATTTATTCAATCTTCCATTTGAGCAAAAGATGAAGGTTTTACGAGCCCCAAGTGAAGATACCGGCTATAGCTATCCTAGACTCGCTCCATTCTTTAGCAAGCTACTATGGACTGAAGGGTTCATTATCATGGGTAACTCCTATCAACATCATGCTAAGAAACTTTGGCCTAATGATTTTCAAGTTTTTTGGTAAGCCTATTTAATAATTTTTATAACAACTATAATTTGATTGCACCATTACTGTATGTTAAACTTTTTGCTTATTTTTATATGAAAGCCATATGACGACTTCATTATACAGAATTAAATAATTTAATCAATTATTAAATATCATTGTGATTTTTGAAGTTAAAAATAAAAGACTACCAATCACATCATTGGGATTAAAATAAAAAATTGTTGTATAAGTTTCAATGGGTTCAAGTGATTTTTTTTACCAAATTATAATAACTATCAATATTTTAAGTGGATATATCCAAAAATTTAATATTTAATTAGGGTCAATTGACTCGACAGTTACAAAACTAAGAGTTTGGTCTAAGAGCATGCACAATGGTGTGGAAAAAAATTCCTCACCACTCTTTGTCTATATTTCCTTCTCCTCCGCATTAGCTTTTTTGTGAGGGTTGTTTTTTTAATACCAATAATTATTAAATCAAAATTTTTCTCACACATCTCTCTCTCTTAGTTTTCTCAATAATAAAATATGTATTTAGAGCATTAAAGAAAAAAAAATACAAATAAGGTGAAAATTGAACATGTCACACTTTTTTGCTGTGGGGCCCGTGTAAACATTTGTGTGAACTTTCTCACACTGAAAAGTTATTCTCAAAAGTTTGTGAGAATTTTGGTGACGTTTCACCATTAGGAACCATTTATCAGTTAATAACTAAATATTTTTAGTGGAAATATTCAAAAATTTAATATTCTATTAAAGTCATTTGACTCGACGGTTACAAAAATAAGAGTTTGGTCTAAGAGCATGCACAATAGTGTGGAAAAATAAATCCTCACTACTCTCTTTCTATATTTCCCTCTCCTTCACATCAGCTTTTTTGTGAGGGTATTTTTTTTTATCCCATCAACGAATAACTCTAAAATATTCTCACAGTTCTCTCTCTCAATTTTCCCAATAATAAAATATGTATTTTGAGCATTAAAAATTAAAAAAAATACAAATAAGGTGAAAATTGAACATGTTACATTTTTTGCTATGGGGCCCGTGTGAACATTTGTGTGAACTTCCTCACGCTGAGAAGTTATTCTCAAAAGTTTGTGACGATTTTTGTGATGTTTCATCATTGGGAACCATTTCAGTAAAAAAAAGTTTATGTGAAGATTTTCTTCAACATTGGGCAGCTTTAAGACAAGTTTTAAGGGGTTTTGGACTGAGTTAGTTCAGATCAAAATGAAAATCGGAAATCATTAAAAATTCTTCACTGAGGCTAGGCTAGACCGGTCACCTTTGATTTGGTCTAATCCAAACTGATTTTTGAACAACCCTAAAATTGCATGATAGATATTTTTTTAAGTTTGAAAATTGTAAAAACAAAAAATTTATTTTTTACTTTTGTTCACACTACTTTTACCATCTGATCCTAATATTACACACATTCACGTTGGGTACTCTTTTTTCAACCCTAATTGTGTTAATTTTAGATGTATTTGGGAATCATAGACGAATTTAGTGATATATGATTTTTGATAGTAAATTGTTCTATTACAATCAATTTATAATATTATAGCTTACATATCCTTGTGTGGTTGTTCTTAGTTGTTGTTTTTTTTTTTTTTTTTTTTTGTTAATGTAGTGAAGTGATATCTGAGTACAAGACAACGATGAAGGACCTCTGTGACAAACTCAAGAGTGTCTTTTTCAAATCAATTAACATGCCCGAACCCATAGAAGCCATTGAAAAAGAAGAACGTTATTATGCATTGCATCTAAACTCATATCCACCATGCCCTAACCCGACCCAAACAATGGGCATACCCCCGCACACCGATACTCTCTTCTTTACAATACTACACCAAAGTGGAAATGTAAGTGGCCTTCAAGTACACAAAGATGGACACGGGTGGGTCTCGGTTGACCCGCATCCAGGTGCCTTGGTGGTGATTGTGGGAGATCTTTTACACATACTTTCAAATGCAAGATTCCCTAATGCACTTCATAGGGCAGTTGTCAACAACGAACAAAAACAAAGACTATCCTTTGCATACTTTTATGGTCTTCCTTTAGACTTTCAACTCTCTCCTTATTTGGACTATCCAAATTGTGAAGGTCCCTGTTTTAAGTCTTTGAAGGTGAAGGAATATGCAAGCCTTAAGGTTAAGTACTTTAATTCGGCACTCTCCTTTATTAAGAAAAGTGGCTAATTAGGATGGTTTATGTTCAAAATATGTAACTGATTGATTATAATAATTTGTAATGTTGGTTGAGTCATGATGATAATAAAGATATTTTAGTCTTCATAGTTGTACAAATGTACAACCGTTAACTTTTACTTATATACCTCCTTCATTCACTTTTAGTTGCAACATTTTGACTTTTATGACATTTGCCAAAGCAAAAGTTTAATCCTTCGTATCTCAAATTATATATATATGTATTAAAAAATATTTAAAAAATTATAAAAGTATTAATCGATACGATCATATAACTACATTATGCCCAACATATAGATAAATAAAAAAGGATAAGTGTAACTTTGTGAATAATGTAATAGATGTGTTGCGATGAAAAGTAAACGAAGAAATTAATAAAGATAATCAAAATTGTTTTCTATCCAACTTTATTTACAAATTTGTTGGTTTCATATACTATTTTTGGCGTTTTAAAAAGATCTACCCATATTGAATGTATTCCCGTGGGGAATAAATTTCAAGCGTTAAACCCCTAGCTTGAACCCCACTGTGATCATACACTAAAGTACGGTGGCGTCCAAAAGGGAAGAAGATAGAGCAAAAGAGTCGCCAACAAGTTTTAGGAACTTGTAAACCGTTCACAGGGTGAAGGTTACACCCTTTAACGATCCAAGAGATCGTCAACTCCATAAGGTCTTGAACCAAATAAGGGTTCGGGGATGAAGGTACAAATCCAACCTAAAAGAGATTGAACCTGCCCTAATAATAGGCCTCTACTTTATTCATATCGTATTCATGTGCGCTTTCTGACTAACATGCAATCAATAGGATTAACCCTAAACCTGTTTATTTATGTTGGTTGAATATAATGCACAAACAAATCTATTATCGGTGATCACTTGAATTATAATCACATTAACCCTAAACAAGATTATTAATTATCTTTTTAAGCGTGATTACAAGTACAAATTCCCTTTAAACATGGATAAAAGGTGTGATCAAGCAATAACAATAAATATCAAGAAACATAATAAATCATCAATATATATATAATAATAATAATAATAATAATAATAATAATAATAATAATAATAATAATAATAATAATAATAATAATAATAATAATAATAATAATAATAATCATCATCATAAAATAATCATAATTAAAATAATAATTATAACCATAATAACAATAATTAAAATAATCATGATCATAAATTATAACAATTATAATCATAATTAAAAATAATCATGTTAAAGTATAATAATAGCAAGATCCTAGGCATGATACTAACAAGATTAATAACAAAACCCTAGCATGTCAATAACAAAAATCAAAGCTTTAACCCTAACATGATACTAACATGAATATTAGGAAAGAATATAGGAAGCATCGCAGGAATCATAATAAGAATATTTGATATTTTAACATTTTCCCTAAACATGATTCTAGGAATCAAAATAACAATATAAGCATGATATCTACATCATAATATCTATACAAACAATTAAAGCACTTACTTGGATGCCTCGTACCTCTTTCTAATAACAAAACAATTAAATTAAATAATTGAAATAGAGATTTGGGACCAAACCCTCATAAATTAAACCTTTCACGTCTAAGCCGAAGGCAACTTCGAATATGGCTAGGTGTTTCTAGATCTAATGAATGCGGAATTTTGTATGTAAAAAGCGAGTTTAGAAAAGGGAGAGAGAGAGAGAGATGGTGAATGAGAAGAGAATGAGAGAGAATTGATGAAAGAAAACTGGTTGTAGGTGAATATCGGTGAAAACTAGTTATCGAAAACGGTGTTTTTAATACGTAATTTATAGAGAAAATCAGCCAAAAAGAAAAATTATCAAGACAGAGCATTGGCGCACAGAAAACAGAGCTGGCGCCAACGCTGGCTTATTGGCGCCAGGCGCCAACATTAGCGCCAGGCACCAGGCGCCAATGTCTGGCGTTAGGCGCTAATCCTGTTTTTGACGCGTTTCCTAAAATCAGATATATTTTGCCGTACAGGAGGATAAAATCGTATATTTTCCTCAAAAATGTTCTTTGATTTTAATTAAAACTCTAAAAAGTCAACAAAAGTCAATTTATCAATGCTAATTGAATTAGGAATGAAAAGAACCTTCTAGAAGAATCTAGAAGACTAAAACCATTCCTAATTGCATTAGGAATGATAAATCATATTAAGCCCTCCCCTAGATCATTGGGCCGCATATAAGGCTCAAACCGGGCCCAGTTTAGTAAATTGACCATAACTTCCTCAATATTTATCGGAATTTGGCTTATAATATATCGTTGGAAAGCTCTTGTCAAGCCCCATCCAACTACACTATTATTGGACCCATATCAAGGACCAAAAAAACTTTATTGGCTGTGTTCTTAAAATAAGTTTTCAAAAACAAAGTGAAAAGAAATTAAAAACTATCCGCAATACTAAACTTTCCACACTTTCACTTCATTCGATTATGATTCGATGTGAAAGGTACTCATCACTGGGTTTGGTTTTGGGGATACACAAATGGGTGTCTACGGAAGCCCCCACTTTGACTGAGTTTGGAGAAACGCAAGTTTCGAAAACAAAAGTCAAAGTATCGATAGGGACGGAGAATGATTCAGAACGTTCTGCGATCCTAAACCACTCTTGTAACGCCGATACCTGCAAACTAGCGTTAGTTAAACAGATAAAAGAGTTAAAAAAACGCGTATCTTGCACCGTCGAGCACACGTCTCTGAAAGTAACCGATTTGCTGCTATATCCTTGTTTTGATGATCTCCTGCAAGCTAGAGAATGCCATCCCGCTTGAAAATTGCTACGCTTGTAACTGCTTCCAATATAGAATATTGCTTCGCCTGAAACGATCCTCCTCCGCTTTGAAAATATTCCACGTCCAAGGGAATACCATCGAAGATTGCTTCTTTTGAAAAATCCTCATCCGCTATGATAATACTCCACGTCCAAGGGAATATTATCGAAGATTGCTTCTCTTGAAACAATCCTCATCCGCTATGATAATACTCCACCTCCAAGGGAATACTATCGAAGATTGCTTCTCTTGAAACAATCCTCAGTTGTTTGTGACAACCCTCCACAATCTAGGGAACGCCATCTTGCTGTTTTTTTTTACAATCTTCCGCAATCTAGGGAACGCCGTCGATCAATGTTGCTACATCTTGAGCCTTTTCTTGAATCATAGTGACAACCTTTCCAATCATAGCAAAAGTCGTTGAAGACCGCCTCATCATGAACCGCTCTTCTCATATCTTGGTGACAACCTCCACAATCTTAGCGAACGCCGTCGAAGACCGCCCATCTCGTGCTATCTTCTCAAATCTTGGGTGACAACCTCCACAATCTTAGCGAATGCCGTCGAAGGCCGCCCATCTCGTGCTATCTTCTCAAATATTTTCTCAAAACTTAGTGACAACCTCCACAATATTAGAGAATGCTGTCGAAAATAACTTTACTTGAAGTCATCCTCAGTTGTTGCGATAATATTCCGAAGAAAACTACCGAAGACCAATGATCGTCGATCTCTAAAGCTCGCTTGAACTTTGCTTCCGCTAAAACCAGTATGTCGGTGTCTTCGTGATGAGCCAATTCTTAGGCGCTTTAAGCTAAGTGAGACGATCTTTCGTCAAGTTGATCACTTATTTGCGATTGTAATCAAATTGACTACTCAATCATGTCAAATTTCTCATAGGGGCTAACTGGCGTGCCAAGGAACCCGAAATTGTTGTTATGAGAGGATTCAAGCTCTGTCGCTGCTGAAATATCTCTGGCGCCAAGAATTGACTCTGCCGCCAGACACTGAGATTTAGCGCCAAGCGCTGAACTCTATTTCCATACGCTAGATGTTTTCGTCTGGCGCTGGAGTAAGGTCTTCCCTATTCTGCCGCACCTGTATTTATTTTCAACTATAGAACTTTGCCAATCTCTTTAATTATCTTAGGGTTGACCTAAGGTTTAACGTCGCTTGACTCATTGACTTGACACGAATCAAGGCATAAACTTGACTCTCTGTGATTGACTCGAGGTTGACTCGACTCAAAGTTTTTGACACATGTGTTAGAATCAAATCAAGGTGATATGACACGACATGACTCAATGTGTACATGACTTGTGTGTGCATCGTAATGTGATCGTGTGACTCGAAAATGCAAAAAAGCAAAAATTTTTGGTCATTTTTGTGGAGTCATTTTTGTGGAGGGTACCGACTTTCTCCCGAAAAAGAAAGACGCGAAAAAAAATCGAAAGTTTGAAGATGCATGTTGAATGAACTTAGTCAAATGTTGTTTGATACTATCTCTCAAGGTGCAAGGATTAATCCATTCTAGGCTATCTCAATTGTTGACTCAATGATGAAAGTATTTGGGTAACTTAGGCACGGAGGCTAAGTACTTCATACTTCGTGATGCAATGACAATTATGATTAATGAGTGATGTTGATATGACAAGGCATGCTTCAACATTGTGTTAAGATTCCATGACAAAGGGTTCCTAGAGGAAGTATATTTGGTCATGTATCTATGCAGCGTGTGAAAGTGACACTAAAGCCAGGCCGCAAGAGCTAAGTGTGTGGGAAAATATTATTTGTTAAAAGAGTCAAATGGTGGTGACTCTTAGGCTAGGTAAGCTAATGATATAGGGATCAAGCCCCTAAGTCTAGCTCTACATGGATAGGGATGAGCATAGGAGATCCCTTGATATGATCATGGTGTAAGTGTGTGAATTTGAATGCATGTTTATTATGGCCGCACCTCGATGGGAGGTTACCTACGTATCCGTTAGGAATCAGGCCGAACGTAGCTCTAGCCGAACCTCGCACAAGTGTATATGTGTATGCCTCAAAAAGGTCTTTTTAAGTTGTAACGTGGTTAGGCTAAAGGATATATAAGGAGGGGATAAAGGCTCAAGACCCTAGGTAAGCCCCCAAGGTGTGCAACCTCGCTTTTGAATCTTTGTATTTTCATGCTTGAGGTTTTCTACTCTTTTTTAGCT